TATGAAAATATTTCTGCAATATAACAATTATGAACAACAATGACTTGTATAATTGTTTACGCAATGTTCCTTTGATTACATATTGAGTTGTGTTTGACTGAAATAATCAGTAAACTCTAACAACAGTACACTCATCAGTACACACAACATAGGCTTACACTAGACATACCAAATAATTCATGGTTTCGTGTTATCCAATCGCATACAAAGCTTATAGGAAGAGAGACATTTGCTACAAAGAGATCAGCCCATGCCTGAGTGTGTTGACTGGCTGTTTGACATCTCAAGTGCTGTCTGTCTGCAACAAGGGTTGCCAGCTTGGCTCGTGCAGCACTGTGTTTTGCATGAATGCTTGTTATTGCTGGTGTAGCACAAAACCTAAGTGAGACCAACTGTGAAGAGATAGGCTAGGCATGCCAGCATATGTGTGTGTGTAGCAGGATCCTTGTTCACATGAATGCAACTTTGTGAAGGAAAATAGCATATGTTTGTACAGCTAGTGTGAAATAGGTCAAATGTAAAATAAGATTTAAAAAAGATATAACATAATTTATCATTTAGAATTATGTTGCAGCATACCTACAAATCAGTATTCAACATTAGTATATACAACGTACGATATACGATGATTTACAATATACGATGATTTTTAAGTAAATACAAACACAGTAATAATAATAATAATAATAATAATAATAATAATAAAAATAATAATAAAAAAAATAATAATAATACACTGTGTGCATAATTATTAGGCAAGTTGTGTTCATGAGGATTAATTTTATACTGTAATTGAACAACTACAGTGCTCTCGGTCAATCCAAAATGTTAATAAACCTCAAACCTCAAACCTCAAAACCTGAATATTGAACAAGAAACATAAGCTGAAACATCAATGCTGAGACAAGAAATATCTGAAGACAGATCTTTCAAAGGTTTTATGGACTGATGAGATGAGAGTGACTCGTGATGGACCAGATGGATGGGCCTGTGGCTGGATCAGTAATGAGCACAGAGCTCCACTTTGACTCAGACACCAGCAAAGTGAAGGTGGGGTACTGGTATGGGCTGGTATTATTAAAGATGAGCTTGTTGGACCTTTTTGGGTGGAAGATGGACTCAAAACTAACTCCAAAACCTACTCTCAGTTTTTACAAGACACTTTCTTCAAGCAGAGAAAAACAGGAAAAAGTCTGCATCTTTCAAGAGGACCATGATTTTTATGCAGGACAATGCTCCATCACATTCATCGAAGTATTCCACTTCGTGGCTCACCAGTAAAGGACTTAAAGTTGAAAAATAATGACATGCCAACCCTTCCTCACCTGACCTAAACCCTATTGAGAACATGTGAGTCCTTCTTAAACGAGAGATTTACTTTGACAGAAAACAGTACACCTCTATGAACAGTGTCTGGGAGGCTTTGGTTGCTGCTGCACAAAAAGTTGATCATCAACAGATCGAGAAACTTGACAGACTTTTTGGGAAGATTGGTCACTGATTTTTTTATTTTTGAAATGTAAAAAATGTTAGTTGTAAATTTTGAGTTGTTTACTATTATGCCAGGCGAAAATAAACAAGTGAAAATGGAAAATGTTCATTTTTCATTTAGCTGTGTAATAATTTTGCACAGTAATAGTTGCTCAATAATTGTGCACACATAGATTTTCTCCTAACAAAGCCAAAACTTCACTTTTACCTAGTTAAATATTCATGTTCGACGTTCATTAACATTTTGGTTTGACCAAGAGCACTATAGTTGTTCAATTATAAATTTAATTCTCATAAATACAACGTGCCTAATAATTATGCACCAGATTTATACCACAAAAACTATTCTTAATGTGAAATATTGTTGAAAAATCATGAGCTGAAATAAATAAATGGCAGGATGAAACACTAGTACTTTGTTCACATGTGTAATGAGTCAGAGAAATTATTGATTCAACCCTTTACAGCTTAAATGTTATTATACAAAATATACAAAAAAACAAGAATTTCCCAGTAGTGCAAAGAAAATGTAGAAATTATAAATATTGATCCGAAAAAATATTGTTGCAGCTTTCATATATTGTTAACAATATGTTGATAGAGTAATTATCGTGACAGGCCTAATGCTACATGCAAGTGAAGGCAGGAAGGCACTGGTAGTCCGCCAGGGAATCTTTAGTATTCAAATGAGTAACCACTGCACACTGTTGGTACGCTGCAAACCAAAAGTGATTCTGAGGATAAAAACAATTAGATGAAGAGATTACAGAGAGAACAATTAGCAGTGAAATGGAGCTTTTATTCCATGACATTAGCAATAACAAAGAAGCTGTTTATTCAGCATGATGAAGCCAGAGCTTGAGACAAATACTGTGGGCTAGGCAGACAAGGCAGTCCATTGAAACCTATTAGTGATGGGAATATGAAATATTAGAGATGTGTAAGGTTGGATTATAAAGTTGAAAAAGACAGAGGAAAAGAAATGCTCATTGTTGTAAAATGTAAATATTTTTTCTCTTCTGGAAAATAAGCCATATTAGTATTCAGGCTAATGCTAAGGTGCTGATCTCTGTTATTATTTATGAAAGCTTCTGTTTAGCTTTGTTAAAAACACAGCGTGGATGAATAATGCTCCTCTTGTAGACAGATCTGGGAGGTCAGGAGGCTAAAGTCGGGCAGCATGTTAAGTTTGACACACTAAATCTTGTCAAATGGATAAACACCATCTCTCAGCGCTCTGGCAACACCTCTTTGTCTCCGGGAAGTCTCATGAAAACTTTATTTATCTTCTTCAGCAACTTTTGTGCCCAAAATGGAGAAGGGAAGATGGAGCAACACAGGAAGGGAGAAGGTTAGGGCCAAAACAGCAGCAATAAATGTGATGTATGAGACGTCATTCTGTGATTGGCTCAATATATCACTCTCCAAACATGTGCATGTATGCACCCACTGCACACTGGCATCGTCTCTGCCTCCCAGCTAACACAACTATCCAATACCACATTAATGCTACATAATGCAATATCCACGTTTGTTAATATTCTTTCTCGAGATGGAAACTGGTATTTCAAGCTCAAACTAAAATTACAAAATGAGAAAGGTCTGAATGCCCACCAAAGCCACTGAGAGTCTTCCTATCAGTTTGTCAACATAAACATAATTGAAATCAGACCATTTATATAAGTATATGTTTTATACTAGGACCAGAAGTCTGAGAAGAAGCAGGTGGTGGGTATAGTGCTGACTGCTGTGATTGATGTGTCTGCTGTGGAGAAGCCCGAGGCGAACAATGGCATCATGAACTTCTCAAATACACAGGGTTAACAGCAGCAGAATAACACAGGCATTTTCCCCACATTATTACTACCTATTGACTCTACCACATTGCTGTAGAAAACTTCAGCATTGTGTAATTTGCCAAACTAGAGGTGTTAAAATGGACCGCAAGTGATGCAATACAGACAACCCCATTGATTGAATCTTGAATTCTAATAGAATTTTATATTTTACAGGAAAATAAGAGCCTGCAACAAACAGTTCACACTATAATACTTTGGGTTTGGTAACACCAATCTAAGCATTTTCATCCAACAATAAATAAACATCAGCCGGCGGACTCTACTAACTGTATAACTAAAGCTGTATTACCCATTAAAGGCGAACATACTAGTGCAAACAGCGGTCAAAAATAGGTCTGAGAAACTTTTTTACCTTGTAAGAATAAAAGTCCTTTATTGTAACATGGACAGTGACATCATAGATAAAAGGACCAGTGATCGATCAGGTATAATGGTGGGATGCCTTGGGATTGTTTCAATGACCATGACTTTAAGATTGTTTGGGTCGGTATGTCCAACTGCTTTGAAGTGCTTTACAATTGGATAGTCCATGTTTTGTGATTGGATGGCGCATTTGCAGTCCTTTCTGTCTTTTTGTTTTCTTTTTGTGTGACCTATGTAGAAACATCCACAGTCACAATCTATTCTGTTTTTGTATTTTCCAGTTTTGAATCCACTGTTCTGAGAAACAGGTATTTAAATCTAATTCCCATCTCTAATCAAACCCTTTAGCGTGAATATCTGGACGCATGTAAAGCTTCATAATTGCTTTTTCAGACGGTCAAATGACACAGGGGTGGACAGCCTAGCTACCCTAGCTATACTAATGGCTGTTCCTTCTTTGTTTGCAAACAAAAAATAGAGCAGAGGTCTGATTTTGATACAAAGTGCGGCTTATACATTTGTTTAATGTGGGAAAAAGCTACATTTATGTCTGGTACAGCCCCATCAAATTTAATCTGTGTGTCACATTTTACCTTTAAGTCAATTTTAATAATTGTGGAGTTTGACATGCATTTTGAAAGCTGTAAAGAACCCTATAATCACAGAACTGCATAGAGAGCATTGAGTCAGGGCATCCCATTGGCTTTGTCCTTGAGGTTGATGCGTGACCCTGCCCCTGAAAACATGTCAGATGGAGCAGTGTGTGAATGTGTGAGGGTCTGGGGTGGGACAGAAGGGTCCTGACAGGGTCAACAAGGAAAAGAGCACTGCACTGACATCTGCCAACCTCTGAAGTCCTCTTCTCACCAACTACACATTGTGATATTCATTCAATTGAAACTGGGTAAATTCTTAGCACTAGCTAGCACTAGTGCTAGCTAGTGTTTAAGGAGGGGGCGTGTCCAGGTCGGGGCATATTTTGCTGCAGGAGGCTGAAGTGGAACGGTACAGTACATATATGGTGATGGCATCTAAACAGGCAGTGATTTTAAATGCTGTAAATGCTGGCTGCATTTGTGTTCTGAACACTCTGCGTGTTCGTGTGCCCCTTTTACACACCTGATTTCATTTGCCTCTAATTACGCAACAGACCAGTATCTAGCTCATGCACTCCCCATACCACAGCAGACCCGCTGACCACTGTTCTACTCATGGTCACAGCCACTCTCACCTGTCCTGGCAGTCCGTTTCAGCATCTCTCACCTGAGGTACGAGTGTCCACCACTGCTACTGCTTACTGCTCACATTTTTATCTCACGCGTGTCCACTGCATTTGGTCCCACATAGGTGGATGGCCTGCGGATTATGGAATACATTTATTGTCATATAAATGTTTCTAATGTTACCTGTTTGCACACAGACATGGATTAAACCATTAACACATGAGGAAGGTGACAGCACGACCTGCATTTGCTCTGCACAAATGACTGATATGCACCATGAGTGCACAAAGCAGCATGCGCAGGTGTCTGTACAGAGCAGTGTTCATTTGCATTATACGTATCTTGAGCCGCTATACAAAGCTCTGCTGACCGCTGCTGCCAAGAGAGAAGCACATATGAGATGTGTGTTTGCTCCACTGTCACAGCCCTGAGCTGTCAGTAAATGTGCGCACTTATCCCTGTCAAAAGTCTGACCGCTCCATGGCTCCCTGCACAATTGTCTACGGTTCTGATGGTAGCCTGCCTACTGGCGACTAACTTTATAAACCAACCAAAGCGGCACAATGGGAATAATTTGGTCATAAAATTAAATGGAGCTGATGACAAAAAGGACACGAGAATGTGAAGAAATCTCACATCACAGCATTAGGACCACAGACAAGGTATGAAAGCACACTTTAGGACAGCGCTGTAAACAGCCGCATGTGAATGAGCAGCTTTTGCACAGATCCAGATCAAACCAGTGCAGTGCTAAGTTGATAAAGGAAGTGGGTGAAGGGCTGTGCTCTGCTGCGGGAGGGCATCTGAGTGGCATACGAACATACTGCACGACACACGAACATGTTATGAATGTTAAGCATTTATCATCCTAATATATTTCCAAATAAAAGAAGTCTTGAGCATGTTACATGTTGTTTCAGTGAACTAGTTTGATATTTATTTTTACGATTCTGGCAATTCACTGAACCTGCCACACCACACCCTCAGTCTGCTCCACTCTCCCCCTACCTCTTGTTTAGAGCTCCATGTCCCACACTTGCAATAGTGCTAAGATCAGGGGCAAGATCGAGTCCATTATGTGCTTTGAAATTTGTAATAATGGTTTAATTTGGGCATGCAGTATATAATGCTTTACAGGCAGTTCACAACACCTGAATGCAGTGTGCCATGCATTCTTATTAGGGCCCAACCGATATGGATTTTGTTGTGGCCGATATGAAACCGATAAAATGGGAGTTGGAGCTGCCGATAGCCGATATAATCTCCGGTATATTTAGTGATGTATAAAATGACTGTAAATCTTAAATTGTTTAAAAACTTAGATTTGGCTCTAGTGGATTTTAAATTGGGTTTATTTAGGCAACATTTATTGTTCTTCTGCCTCTTTACATCATATTTACAGACAGTAGGTTGGACTAAATGCATTTTTGCATCACATTCTAGCTACTAGTGGTAAATGGTCACATTTTTCTATAGCGCTTTTCCACCTTCAAGGCACTTTACAACAAGGAACCACTCACCCATTCACACACCAGTGTACGCAGACACTGTGGGCAAGGTGGGTTAAGTGTCTTGCCCAAGGACACAACGGCAGCATTCATCTGTGGGAGCTGGAATCACACCAGCCAACCTGCGGGTCAGTGGATCTGACCACTCAACCTGCGATGTTTTTATGTCGAGAGCTGGATTCAAACCACCAACCTGCAGATCAGTGGGCGAATGCTCTACCAACTGAGCTACTGCCGCCCCAGTGATGTGATGTGATAGTGATGGGTATTCCAGTTCTTTTTAGAGAACAGGCTCTTTTGGCTCGGCTCACTAAAAGCAGCTGGCTCTTTCAGCTCCTAAGCGATTCTTCCGATTGTTTTGTTGTAAGCAGAACTAAACCAGAACTGAACCAGGTCTAAACCAGGACTGAAAAAGGACTAAACCAGGACTAAAACAGATCTAAACCATGTGTAAAACAGGACTAAACAGAACTGAACCAGGACTGAGTGTCAGGACTCGGTCTCTATCTCTCTCCCTCTCTCGACCCCAAGATTAGTCCTGGTTTGTTTATTTTATGCTGAACTACAGCCAAACATGCACGTTTTTTTTCTATCCTATGCACACGCATATTTCTGAAAGTTTCATTTTCAGCCGCTGCCCACTGTCAAACTACCACGCGGTGTGAAGAGAAAAAAAGTGAGCGAAAGAGAAAACACGGCTCCCAATAAGGATCAGGCTCCCGTCGTTCGCTTCAAAGAGCCGACTCTAAGAGCCCATCACTACTAGCTAGTAAAGAAACTACTGCTGTTAGCCTTTAGCTGTAAATGCACCGCGGTAATTAATTATATGCATAAATGTGGATCATTCACACCTCTATCCAAAGCTCATTTACATATCAACGCAGGTCCAGTAACAAATATACGACCAATGTAATGAATTTACAATAGGCCAATACAAAACAGCCTGTTTATCTGTGGGAGCTACAGCAGCTAATCGCTAACCAAAACTAGCTTCAAAGTCGTCATATTTCCAACACTCAGCGCTCACACAGGCTCCTCCCACATCACAAGTCTGCACTAATAAAAGTCCTTTTAATCCAGACTCAAACTGATTGTCCATAAAATTGCGCACGGCTGCGGGTGTAAACAAACACGAATGACGTGACTCTGGAGGTGTGTTCAGGGACAGTACTTACACACACAGACAAATGACTCCGCAGATAAATACTGATGTGGAGCCACATATTAGGACATTTATCTGTCTGTAAATTGGATTAAATGAACAGAATGTAGAGTCTAAGCTTTATAACGAGATATAACATGCCCACGTGAAATATCGGCCCATATCAGCAAACATATCAGCTGATAGCCGATATGTCTCCAGGAGCCCATATCGGCTGATAATATCGGCCAACCGATAAATCGGCTGGGCTCTAATTCTTATACCAATGAACGTATAAGAATTTATTCGCAACTATCAAGGTAAGAAAGACGAAAACATAAAGGCTAACAACGACTAGCATTAGGGAACTACTTGTGAGCAAAACTAACATTATGGTCATGAATAAAACATAAGTGACTTGTTAACTCAGACTGATTCTACAATGAAAATTTAAAATCGATTTCATGATGTATAAATTAGCATAGACAGAGAGATTTGTGCAGTTTAAATGCTAGATATGTAATCTGTGAACATCTGTAGCAATAATTTAATTAATTAATTAATTAAATTCTAGAATCAGTCAGCGTTAACAAGTTATTTATTAGCGAATTACTTATTACTTATGTTTTATTCACGACCATAACATTAATTTTGCTTTGGAGTAGTTCACTAATGATAGCTATTGTTAGCCTTTATATTTTTGTCTTTCTTACCTTGATAGTTGTGGATAAATACTTCATGGACAGAGTATGTCCTTTGTGGACCTTGTTGGAACATTTTCACAGATATTTTGCCATAGAAAAGCATTAACATAAGTGACGTTTACCCTACATCACAGCACTTCCGGTCAATGTGAAAAAGTTTCAGTTGACGCAATTATCAAACATCAAAGGCTGTGTACTCTGCAGAGAGAACAAAATATGCACTCTCACTACATATCTACACATAGTTCAGAGGATTCTTGCATTAGTTTATCCGTTCATATTTAATTTTTCTCTCAAATATTAATTATCATAGAGTTGTTCACAATATGCACTTTGAACAAAATCCTATTTAAACATATAGTGCAAATGTAATCGCAAACGCAATATTTGTATTTTGTTTTTCCGAATTCGCACTGCATCAGATTTTTTCTTTGAAGAATATGATGAGGAAATCATTTTGCTAGCCAGGCAAACTGCTGGCATAGACTAACGGGGTAACGTTTCTCATTTATTTATGTTTTCCTCTGGACGTTTGCAGACCTGCAGACAAAAGGCTTCAGTCTTTTGGAACTTCTGCTATGATAGATTTTATAATACAGATTTTGAAATAAAGGTGATCCTGGCTGATTGGGCTGACTAGAATATCCCTCTTTCTCAACAGACAACATGCAAAGTATGTTACCTTTAATTTCTTAAATATTTATTCAATATTTAGCATATTTTTTGTTATTTGTATATGTCTTCTGCTTGGCTGCACTCAAGAATCCTAATGGCTGAAGAGGGGGCCACGGGTCAGTGACTCAAACCCAGTCTGCATACCTAAAGAGTACATTTATTTGTTTGTTTGTTGGTTTTGTTTTTGTTTTTTTACCAGAACTTCAATAGTAAGAATAGTCTCAAGAAAATTAAAGAAAGGGTGTTTAGTACACCACAAATACTTTAGTAGTAGTTTAGTAATAGTTTAATAGTAGAGCTATACCACATTTGACATCAAACTATGTACTCCACTCCATTAGTCAACTCACACTTGTACACAGACATACATAAAATTGGGACTAAACTGTAAAAAATTTAAGAAATAAACCTGTACTAAACCAGGACTAAACCAGGGGCTAGAACAGGACCAAAATAGGTCTACCATCCAGACAAGCTTATATTAAAAATAAGCAGAAAATGTAGTCTAACTGATTAATTGTTTTTAGCTTAATACAACATTTCAGTGCATATGATAAAGCTGACAAACACCACACACTTATTTAATCAAACACATTATTAAATTAGGCCTAAATGACCCTCATTTGTTTCAGCTGGAGTCCTTGTTGTGTCAGACTTGCTGTTGTGGGGGCTTTGAGATAGCTCTAGAACCATCATTAAGCTTGAGTTAAGACTCAGGCAGCAGGGCTAACCCTTCCCTTTAGTGAGATGATAATAGTCTTTATGGAAACAAGGGCAGATGGTGACTGCAAACACACATTAATGTCCTCTTCATTTTTAACCTTGACCTAGCTCTCGTGCTCCCATCACATAACGCACAGTTACACACAAATACACACAAATACACACATACACACACACACAGACAGTAAAAATATCTACTTTTTCGTAGAAGAGGTCATTTATAATTAGCTTCCCTACATGACACAGTCCGCCTCTGCCATAGACGACCTAAAACAAACTTACGGTGCATCCTCGACATGCAAAACCACAATCAGCATTCAAAGCAATCACGTAATCACATTTTAATAAAGCCTTTCCCACCGGGGGCCACTGGAGATGCATG